AATTACGAATTATATGATGGTTGGTTATAAGGCATGCAAAGCAAGAATGTCTAAAAATAAAGTTTTATATTAAGTTCAAAAGCATTTATTCACGGCATTTAAAGCTCTATAAATTAATTCAAATTTTAAGTTTAGGTTACTTAATTAAAGTTAAAATTATTTAAGATTTTACGTATTAAATTCAAATTACAAGTAACTCTTGATACTGTATAATAAGTCTTCGTTACAAGAAACTCTTAGTATATGAAAGATTTTTTAAAGCCGCAATTAAATATTTTATAATAAAATATCTTTAATATAAGAAATTTCAATATAAGAAAAAGACTTATATCAGTTGTGCATACTTCGATTTAGCATTTTATAAAACTTATATTTCATTGGTTTGTCGATCATCACGTGCGATGTGGCTAGTGATCTGCACCACAAACCTGGCACACATTTCAGATATGCCTTTAAATGATAGGTGCTGACTTACAGTCCCTCTTTTTATATCTTATATAGTTTGGCTAGTTGGTTTCTACTGTTTTTGTTGAGAAGTTTTTTCAGCAGAATTTGGTTTAAGTGATCATTGAAAAAAGTTGAGATTTTAAGTTTGACAGTATTGGAAATTGTATATTTATAGTATTCATATAAACATATATTTTTTTAAAAAATCAAGATTTTTCTTTATATCTATATTGTAAATATAAAAAATAATATTTGTAAACATAGAAATTTTTTTGAATTTCCAATACTGCCTGTTATGTTGCTATTACTTAGTTCATATCTCAAGCCACCTTTTGAGATGCTGCTATAACCCAATTTGTATCTTAAGCCACAATCTTTCTAATTAATTATTTTCTATTGCAAATGTCCCAGGCCCTTCCTCCTGTGATGTTGCAGTTTTCAAAATCTAATTTAACTGCCCAGGTGAGATATACCAAGCTATAAAGCCCAGAAAGTCTTATACAATTTGATTTTTACAATATATTTAAAATATAGTAAAAAAAAATCTATTAATCTAATAAAGATATAGTAAAATAAAAAACTTATAATATTTAAACTCCTTTTCTTCTTGATGTACATTCTAGTATTGAGAATACAAAACATTATTTTCTTTTGCTCTTAGTAAAAAAAGTAAGAATAAAGAGATAAGCTCTTGGTAGACTGACAAGGTCTTCTAACTTACATGTAGATAGTGTTCCAAAATTCAAGTTTGGTTCAATTAGGTTCAGATTCAAGTTCAATTGAACCCAAACCGAACTTTAAATTTTGCAGATCTTTGAACTTGAACCCAAACCAGACTTAGAATTTATAAACTTGAACTGAACTCGAATCTAGAATATTGGTTCAAGTCTGAGTTCAGTTCAAAGTTCATGAACATGTTCAGGTTCAATTAATAATATTAATAAAAAAATTGAAATGAATATATCATTTAAATCAACAAACTTTTTACAACAAATGCTCTTTTTTTTATATCTGGCTTGAAATTTTTACAATCAATTGAGTTTTCAAAAAGACTACACAAATAATAAATTATTATTTTATTTTTAGCACTAAACATTTTTATAAATGATAAAAAAAACAAGAGACTCAAAAAACAATATCCAATACTTATTGTCTCCTAGCTTTTACAAATATGGCAACAAGTTCAACTACGTATTTGACAAAAAAAAATTATTATTAAATTATTATATTTCTAAATAAATAAGCGAATAACACTTCTTTATATTCAACAGCAGCTTTATTTACAATTAAAGTTAATTTTTCAGTTAATATTACTTTCCAGAGCTCTTGAAAGAGGAGGGAGTGGCAAATGAAGCAAATATATAAAATGAACAACCTATTTTTAATGTAGTAAATCTATTATAACAAATTGACTTCAAGTTAAATTTAGGGTGTTCTTAAGTGTCAATCTAGAAGTGATTAGCAAGTAATCGCAATGGTACTTAAGCAAAATTATATTTACATAAATTTTTATTAAGAATTTGAATATGTAATTTATAACATAATTGAAATCTTTCTAAGCATCATCTTCGATGTAATTAATTAGTAATCATAATAGTGCTTATTTAATAGAATCAATTGAAATAAACATTGCAATAAGTATTTGAGTGGTTCTTTTATTATTCGTCAAAAATAAAATAAAAAATAAAAAATAAAAAAGTAAAAAATAAAAAAACAAAACCAACATTAAACAAGAAGCAAATGCTATAAATTATCAAAAATATTTTGGCAAAGCATTAACTTCAGCAGCTTCTGTTGCTCCATTTACCGACTTCACCAATTATAATATGTTATTTTAACAACATTATCTCACCTACATTTTTTACGAATCCATTAGTTTTAAATAAAGCTGCTGTTGAATACAAAGAGTGTTATTCGCATATTTATTTAGAAATATAATAATTTAATAATTTTTTTTCTTTTTTTGTTAAAGGTGTCAAATAATTTAGAACTAGTTTCTAATGATTATTCAGCTTCAGATATGAATTCTACCTTTTCTGAAGTATTAACAACAAAACATATTGTTTTGAGCCTCCTGGTTTTTTTTTATCATTCATAAAAATAGTTAGTGCGAAAAGTAAAATAATAATTCATTGCTAAACATGATGATTCATGGCAATATTACTTGTATGGTTTTTTTGAAAACTCAATTAATTGTAAAATTTTTTAGACAGATATAAAAAAAAGAATGTTTGTTGTAAAAAGTTTGTTGATTTAAATAACATTTCATTTCAATATTTTTTATTAATAAAAATGTCATATTTATGTAATAAGCTTTATCAATTATGCATATTCATCTTAAAAATAGCATGCTTAACTAATTTAAACCATTTTCCACTAAATAAATTTTATTTCCTGATACTTTTTGCCCTATTGATTAAAGCACTCGAGAACACTTTTGGTTTAGAGATTTTAGTTGAGTTACTAATTAGGTTAAATAAATTTGATTCAGTAGTTAAAATAATATTTCTATTATAAAAGAAAGAAACAAAAAATAAATAAGTAAATAATTAATTATATAATATATTCATCTAAGAAAAAGAACTTTATATATAGTTGGTTTTGTTTTTTATTTTTGCTCCTTTATTTTTTTATTTTTTTTTATTTTTTATTTTTTATTTTTGACAAATAATAAAACCGCTCAAACATTGATTACAATGTATTGATTCTATTAAATGAGCACCATTACAATTACTAATTAATTACATTGAAGATGATAGTTGAGAAAATTTAAATTATATCATAAATTATATATTCAAATTCTCAATAAAAATTTTATATAAATATAATTTTGCTTAAGTGCTATTGTAATCACTTGATAATCACATCGGAATGAACAATTTATAGATTTATTGAACTTGAACAAGTTCATGAACTTTTGAACCGAACTTAAACCTGGTTTAAAAGTTCAATATTAAACTCAGACCGGACTGTATTTTTAAAAATAAGTCTGGTTTGGGTCTGGTTCAATTTTGAACTGAACTTGAACTTAACCCAAAGTTTGGTCTAGTTCAGGTTTATAGAAACACTACATGTAGGTTGGTGCAACAAGTTGCTCTTGGACACACTAGATGCAGCTAGGTGATGTTGGGCTTGCAATTTTCTATACTATTATTATTCATTCTGTCCAAGTTTGTTTAAATAAAGTATTGTATTTGAGCTTCGGCAAGACTGTCAAAGAGCTAAAAAAAAACTTAAGATATTAACAAAACTTAAATTTACCATATAGGGTCTTTGCTTTGAAAATGATCTTATGGTACATAATACTATAAGGTCATTTTCAAGGCAAAAGCCCTATATATTAAAAATATAATGTGAAATTAATTAATTGATTTTTATAACCTAGCCAGGTCAAAATTTGAAAACTTTAAAAAAAATTTTTTATATGTTTTAATAACCAGGTGGGTTTTAAAAAAAAAATTTATATAAACTTTATAAAATTTTATATATGAAATTTAAAAAAAAAACCAGCTGGCCAGATCTATTTAAAAGTTTGTTATGAAAACCAAGTAATTACTGTAAATTTGTATAGCCTAATACAGTGTTGTACATGGAACAATTTTGAACAATTTTAGACATTTTTTCAAATTAAAATTACATTAAGATAATCTATTTTAATTTTTTTATAGATGAATCCAGCACCTAAAAAAATATATAATTATATATTTTTTTAAATTACTTTATTGATTATTTAAACCTGGAACATAATGTTTATGAGGCAGAAGTTGAAATACGAATAATGATCATAAAGCTAGGATAGTAACATCTGTTGCAAACAATTAGGGCAAATCGCACATGATAATAGATAAAGTAGATAAATGTAGAGAATAATAAACACTCAAAATACCATGTGGCAATAAAGAAAATTAAAATCATTTATATATATATTTTAATTTCAATGCTAATGAAATATTTATAAGAAAATTTCGCGACATGCACGATCACAAAATTTGCATATTAATGCGATATTAAACATTTAAAGCTTGGCAACAATAAAGCCCACCTTTAAATATACCGTCAAAGGAAGTTTGTATCAGCTCCTTATATACGATCACCCTCCCAGTAAAAACACACCACATTTCGTCTAATCCACCTCTTTCTCCAATAAATTTCCTTTAAAAACAATAACAAACATTGAATCTAGGATATCTCTCGAACTCGTAAACTGTATTTAATACTTTAATTTTGACGATGAAATAATAATGGATATGTGCTTGGTTAGATATCAGTAACTTTGATGTTACAGTACTTCTACTATCTTTTCTTAATGCGAAAAGCTGTATATTTTCAAGGTCGTTGCTCCAGAAGACTTAATGTCCTCATTTACAATATGCTGTGTACGTATTTCTTTTCTGTAAGTCTTTTTGTGCTTTCTACAGGACAATGATGCAATTATTTATTCTTGCCTTTGTGGCCTAATGGAAACATAATAACTAATCCAGCATCGCTATTCATCATTAAAAATTGATTAGATTAAGTATAAAGAAAAAGTAAAATATAGTAATGAAAAATACTCACAAGGGAAATAAGATGACTGAAATTAAAAGTATTATAAACAAGGCTGCAAGGGTTGTAAATCCTATTTTATACCAAATTTTATCGGCCTCAATTTTTCGTATTTTCTGTTTAAATTCATTGGATTCTTTATTGATACGGTTTATTTCCTCGTCATTAGCTAAAATCTTGATTTGCTGTTTTCTATCACTTTCATGAAATTTATTTTCGATTTCTTTTATTTTGTTTTCCAACTTGGTCCTCTCAGATTTCAAACCATTTATCCTAGTTTCCAATATTATTTTATTTTCTTGAAGTTTCGAGGCCACGGATTCGTGATGAGCAGCCATAAGTTTCAAATCGTGAATGATCGATTCTTTAATTACCATATTTTCATTTTGATTATTCCTGGACTCTTTCAATTTTAGGTTTTCAATTTCAAACGATCTAATCTTTTCCTCTGCAGCTTTTTTTATTTCTTCGGTTGTTGATTCAAGACCAATTGAAGTATCGGCAAGTTTATTAAGCCTTTCTTCATAATGTTGAAGCAATTCATAAGTCCGTTGTTTCAACTTTTCATCGTATTCTATAGTATATAAATTGATTGCTTCTCGAATCCTTTCCTGAATGATTTGATTAGCAATTGCCTTTTCATTTTCTATTCGTTTCATGATTTCTTCTTCATTCGATTTAAACTCTTGCCTCAAATATTCATCGACAGCCTCTAAAGCTTCTATTCTCTTAAATATTTTTAAAGCTTCATCCTTTATTACAGCGATCGTTTGTGCCATCTTTTCGTTATGATCGTCTTTTAACCTTTTCATAATTGTTTTTTCACTTATTTGAAGATCTTTATTCAACCGAGCTTCTATTAACTCATCAACACTCTCTAATGCTGCAAGTCGATCATTAATATTTTTTGTTCCTTCTTTGATATCAAAAAAATTTTTTTTCAATTCTTCTCGTAGTTGATAATATTTATTCTCAAGTTGTTGAGCTATATCACGAATAGAATCAATTTTTTCTTCAAGTCCTTTAAATTTATTTTCAAAAGTTTCTTCTCTTACTACATAATCCATTCGATCTAAATCTTGCTTTAAAATTGTTATTTCATCTTCAAGAATTTGAATATTATTTGAAACACGTTTTGCCCATTCTTTAGAAATTTTAATCCTATTATAGACAGTATCAGCAAATTGATCAATTACTAATAATTTCATTCCTTCTTCAGAAAGTTCATTATCAGAATTTTCTTTAGATTTTTCTTGTATGGTGTGAAATAAATTTTCAATGTTTGAAATTTTCTTATCAATTTTTGATTTATGATCAATTAAAGCCATTTCTATGCTACGAATTTTTGCTTGTGCTTTAACTTGAATTAATTCATTAACACATCTACTTATTTTATTTTCTATAACCGTATCAACGTCAGTCAAAAAGTTGGAAAATAAGGCAAGACTGCGTTCTTCTTGAGATTTTTCTAATTCACTAATAGCTTTAGTAATATTTGATCTAATTTTTTCATTAACAGATTCTTTCCAATGTGATAATGATAATACGGTATTAACATTTTGAGCCAATTCAATCATTAAATTTCCCATTTCAGTAAGAATTTTTGTATAAATTTGTTTTGATTGTTCTCGAATTGATCTTTTGAATAAATTTTGGGCACGTCGTTTTATTTCAATACGTAAATCACCAAAAGATTCTTCTAATCGAGTATCAAATTCTAAATAAGAAGTATCTATAATTGTTGTCATATTTGTTCTACACTTGCGCAAAACTAGATCCATTCGTGATTTAGAACACACAGAATGAGCACTACTAGAACCTTCTGCTTCAATTTCCGAAGTATCCGAAGTTCGATCAATCATAATAGCATCGATTCCGAGCGATTCGTCCGAATCAATCGCAGATGGACAAGTCTCTTCCTCGATATTTTCAATATCATCCATATAATTTGACAGAAACATGTTGAATACCTCAAATGAATCATCACCTATAATACTTTCTAAACTTTGTTCGTCAGATTCTTCAGCAGAATTAAAATTTATACTTGATTCAGAGGAATAATATTGATCCAACAATGAAAGATCGTCGAAATATTTAAATAAAGGGCGAACGCTTTCCATATAGTGATTCAAGTCTTCTTTAACAATTGGTTTTTTGAGATCTAATTCTTTATTTGATTCATCTTGTTCAACTAAACATGGATCATAAGGTAATTCCAGATCACGTGCACTTTCCTCGTCTGAAGAATCTTGACTACTTATAAAAAACTTTTCTGAAATGTCATTTTCAGCTACACTTCCAAAATCGATCAAGTTAGGTGATGGAGTTCGAGAAGACATGTTTCTTTTTCTGGTTAGAAATGAATATCGACTGCTCTTTCGCATTATATTTGAATTTGTGACAAAATAGGTCGGAACACTTTTTACTTACCTTTTAAAGAATGAATAAGAAACTAACGAAAAATAGGAATTTTATTAATTCTTATTAAATGATCGTAAAGGTAACTTTAAAAAGGTAAAAATGAATATTTCGTGATGAACGAAATAAAAATTGAAAAAAATTTTTTTGGTAGTAACGTCTTAATTATCATTTATATAATTTTTTTAAATCAATATTTTATCTCATCGTAAAAACCATATATTTAATTTTTACATATGACGTACCGGTATAATGTTTTTGATATATCACACATGAAATCATATATATACTTTTACCCCTTTTACATCTTTGAAATGATTGAAATTTCACATAATATAAAATCATTATAACGATTACATTAGAACTTTTTTTCCTGGATTTAAAAATTTATATAAAATTCACTCTCGAAAGTTTCATTGTTCGATAATTGAAAAAACTTTTGGTACCGTCGATGTTACACGACTGATCCTTCACCTGGTGTGCAGCATATAAAAAATTATTTTATTTTATTATAATAAAAATAGAGTGGGATTATATGTACTGCTGGTATTGTAAAATAATTTTGACGTTTCCTCCTGTGCGTAGCATCGAAATTTTTTAATACCTTACGTTTTTTTTTTTCACCAAAGTCAATAAAACTCGCTTAATAAATTAAATGTATAGTCAAATTCAAGTAACAAAATTTCAAAAAAGAAATTATACGGGTCAATACTGTATTATAATATCATAAGCATTCTTATCTAAACAGGACGTCAGTAAATGAAATCGAAAAGCTTACGTACGATTAATGTTGTTAGTCGAAATACTTAATTTAGTCAACCATTTAGGCAATTAGGTGTCTAAATATATTTCGACATGG